TGGAGAAAGAAGGCTCGAACTCGGAATCTCGGAATGACAGGTGTGTTTCGGCCGGCCGACAATAGGTCGTTGATTACTGTCTAGTCTTAATGAAATGGTCCAAATGAATTAAAATTGCTCATCACTAATGCTACGAGTCATTCGTCAAGCTACAATAAATTATGCATCACAAGCTTCATCAAGAATGGTTGATTTTCGAATACGGTCGAGAGTAATCTAACAGCTTTGACGTTAAAGACTCAGAGGAAAAGCTGCTTCACTAGTAATCAATAGTTAGGATTTATCGTATCAATGGTAGGCTTCATTAATTTGCTTAGTTTTGCACTGTCTCTTAAAAACAGGAGAATGAATGAAAGTACGTGTGAACGAACGAACAAGTCAAAAATCAGACAAACTGAGGAAGGAACGGAGGCGTATTCGTAGAGCAGCCATCGAAGTCACCTGTGTCAAGTTTTTTTAACATTTCTAAGTTTAAGCTAGATTGAGCATTCTATCTTTCATCTCGTGACATACAGTATCTTGTACTAATTACATCAATTATATGGAAATAACATTGCAGAAACAGTTTCTCATAGGTGATATGACATCTTACTTTAGAGTGTCATGAACGAGACAACAGTGCACAAAAACTTTAAGTACAAACACTTTTTATGGAGTACTACTGACACCCCGGACCAAATTTATTCCATCTCTGTGCAAAACATATTTTTACTCTGAAAAACAACCGAGTTTAATCCAAGTCGGCAGTATGGCTTAAATAATGCTTTGCAATTCCAGTTGTGGGCTATTTTGGGTATCTCCAGCTTGTGTCCCTGGTTTAATAAGTAAGTATTTATAAGTTTTTTCCCATTCGTGATATTCCGAAACTTACGATCCAGAAATAATGCATCACTCCTGAAGAAGAAATAAGAAGAGAAAAGTTTTGTGCCAAAAGAGGCCGTTGTTATGTCGTTGAAAAGTTGATGGCTGCGTTATGAAGGTTACGTAACATCAGCGTCTGTCCTGCGCGCAAAGCCAATGAATGGGAGGAAACTTAGATTTACGACTTTGTGGTCTAGAACGGAATTGAATGTTCGAAATCAATACATTTTTTAATCGTTGGACTGTTGACCTGGCGTGCACTTTCATCTGTCATGTATCTTATGATGCGTATCTTAAGTCTAACTGTCAGTCGCAAAGCCTTTATTCAGAAGTGTAACATTTATAGAAGGTAGGGTTTAAAGCTTTAGCCTTTGCAGTGGTTGGTCCATTGCTGATTTCCTGTGACAGACCGACTTATTTGTCTCGAAGGAGTGAAATAGAGTTTTTCGAAATCATTCGAATGAATCATCGCCGTTGGAGGTCCAGCCGAAGATCTCCCAAATATGAGTTTTTACGATTTGAGTGTCTTCAAAGAAGTCTTCAAACTGAATGGTTACAGCGCAATGTCAGCTAAACTGACAAGCTTCTGCTTAAAACTGACTTCAGCAAGCATCTACTTAAAACAGCGAGAATATTACATGCAAGATGGATTATTAATAGCATCCTTTGACATTTCTTGGGCCTAAAATCACTGAATTAGCATCAGCTTTATAGCTATGGATAAATGGTTATGTATTCATGAGAACGTAACCTCTGGAATCACCAACTGTTTCAGAAACTTGTTTCAATTGATACAGGCTATAGGCATAGGTAAAGTTGAAATTCGAACGTCTTCAAGTCATCATCTCAGAGAGAAATCTTGACCTGTGACAGATAGATTGCGCATCCGGAAATAAGTGGCTGAAATATTCCTTCTGAGACGAATCAATCAGCTTATACCTTTCGGCAGAGTACACGGTTTAAATATCCTCAAATGCCTTGTTACAGTCTGTACTTCTCCAGGTTTATAAACCACCGCTAGTGTTTTCTGATCGCCTCTTGTGAATGCTTCCACAAAAGACGGCGAAGCAGTTCCTAAACCAGCTGATCAAGAATGGCATAGAGCAAGTTCCTCGACAAATTTTGCTCCGGACTTGGGTTTTGTTTTGCCAAGGCTCAGGACACAGGTACAGGATCCGGAACAGTCCCTACGCTGATGCTTCGCCACCCAAAAGAATAAGCGTTCACCATGAGTGACTGATTGATTTGCCTTCATGCATTGATCATTCCGTCATGACTAGGGCAAACACTTGTGCACCGTGTTATATGTCCTTATTAAGGGAAAAGTGGCTATAACTTGTAGCGTTGACTTCTGAATAAGTTCATTTTATTTTTGACCTTTTCTGTGCCTATCACTATATAGTTCTTCCTTTATTAATGATCTGTCCAATCACTGAAGAAACGTCACCTCGCGCAACAGAGCGGTTAACTGGTAATCTCGGATAGGTACGCTAGAACGATTAAACAATTAACCTGTTTGATTCAGAACCAACGATACAAGCAAACGTTGTTTAACGTTTAGTTCCCACTTAGTCCGTCAAAATCTAAATGTAATAAAAAAAGTCTGTGCTCGAATCTACCTGCGTTCAACCGGCTATTTTCAGGGTGATTATCCACAGTATGTGGGCTTGGACCGTTTCCAGATGATGAAACACCAATTTTTCGACCCACTTGGAGGCATGGCTCTTGGAAAGCGCTACGGCAGCGGGAGCCATGAAAGCGAAGACAAGAGACGGTACTTCGACCCCCTGGGCGGCATGGCGTTGGGCAGACGCGATTATCAGGCGCAGAACTTCGAGGTTGACGACAAGCGCAGATACTTCGACCCTCTTGGCGGAATGGCGTTGGGCAAACGACGATACTTCGATTCGCTTGGTGGCACGGTGATTGGCAAACGGTCGGGCGGCTTAGCTGGCCGCATGTACGGTTGGCCGACCGGTAGAAAGTCGCTGCTGGGCACTGGAAACGGAATGTTGTTCCTCCTACCTCAGAGGTACCAAGAGGTCAAAAAGTGACTGACCTGACCATCATCGCTTGTCTGTCGTCACTGACGCACAAGTTGCGTGTTTACAAATTGTCTTTAAGAAACTCACTCCGTTTCTGTCGTTTGTCACTCGTATTCACACGTTTGTAGAGAAAATGTGATGATCATATAGCAGAAGAAGGCATAATGCTTAAGGCTATGTCAAAAAAAGAACTATAAGGTATGTTACTGTTGAACTGACGTAGGGAGATCAGGATTCATATCCAACATCTGGGGAGAATTTGCCGAAAAAGTGGAGATGCGAAAAATCTGCATAATTATACGCCGTATTCAACAACCTGAATTCTTGAAAGGCAAAACTTTTTTGTCATATATTTTTGAGTTACTTGCAGCAGCAGAAGAATCCATTTTGATTGTTCGCAACACCAAGATTTCATATCTTTGAGATCATACTGTCTCTTCGTCAAAACAATGGCACAACGTTCAACAGAGTTGAATAGTCAGTTCGAAAACAGGCAGAAATCCCAGAATTTCTCATAAAACGATTCTTGTCCATAGGCTGCAACTTTCTCGACACACCTGAAGGCAATATTTTCCTGCTAAACGAGGTTCATTTCCTGATCTTCCTTGTACCACTCACATGGTAAGCATCAGATCCGTTGCAGTAACATATTTGTTCTTTGGTAATGGAAGCTATGAACTTTTCATAAACAGTGCATCATTCGTTTCGTCCAGGCACCCGATGGTTTTCCTCTTATGTACATCCAAACAGGAGATGGCACAATCCCACTCTGAATGTCTACAACGGCTGTGACGACACTGTAAACGTACACCACTCAAAACAGTGCCATTCTGCCTCAGCTGACGACGCAGATGACTAGAGAGAGGGAGGGGATAATCTGGTATGATCAGTGACAGTTTTGTTACCATCCACAGCATTGAATTGCGTAAAGAATAATTAACATTGAACTTAAACACAACTGTGGAAATCTGAAGACTAATTTGCATAAGCAATTGTAATTTTTCTACTCCCTCTTTTTCTGTACCTGCTAGAGTACCTGCAAGTCGCATTCAAAATAATAGTCTCTTAAATTCATCGGTAGATCCATTGTAGCTACAGAGCAGCCTGTCGACGAATCTCCTGCTCTAAGGGCCACTTTCACTTCTCCACGGTTCAAGGATCATCCTCATATCGAGAGGTTGAGGCAAAGCTGTCAAAAGTTGCACTATAAAATACAACAAATGCCCAGTGTACATACCAGCCGAGTCTCTATCGAACTATCCGTCATGATCAAGAATTCTCTGAAATCAAGAATCGCGAGTTCCTCGCAACACCAGACAGGAAATTTATACCCTTTCTGAATTGTCAGGATTTGAGATCAAACCGACTGTCCCACGACAACGCATATTTCCCCGGGTGCCTTGAATGCCATATACCTGTTCCCCGGGTATTACAGGTCTATATCAAAACACCTATCGTCTGCTGCAATCATTTGCGTCGATGGCTCTGTTGACATTACAAAGCAATTCATGCTTACTATGGTATAAGGGGTATCAGACCTCGTAGTTTAACATCGGGTATTTTTCGACTGTACCAGCAAACTCGTGATATTGTGTGCTTCTTGTACATCTTATAACTATGTACCAAACAAACGGTATCAAACCAATGTCAGCAACAGTATTGACTAGCAATTTTTCGAAGATAATTATAAACTCTATCAATTCTCTAATAAATTACCTTTGAGGATGATATCGTCATAAAGCGTCACCGACCTTGCA